AGGAATGTCAGAAGATGGCCAGGAATTACAGTCTTTGTGACATTTTATAATCAATTTAACAAAAAAACTTCATATTTTGACATTTGAAATAAAATGGCTAGTTTTTTTCCATTTAAATCAATGCAATTGCTTCCTTATATGATCATATTAATAAAACCTTATCAAGGAATGCTTGAAAGAGATTAATGTCTGAATTTAAAACCAAACATGTACTTTTGTATCATGGGTCATTATCAAACAAAGCAGCAATTTGCAAACCCATCTTATCCTCTAATGAAAAATTGAAATTGATGTCCAGCAAATCATTCACAGCTCAAGAAGTGGCAAACAAGTGTCTAACCTTAAATACATGACAAATCAAGAAAATCTTTACTAACTATGTATGAAGAATTATTGTAACATTTCTTTTAAATAGATCTATGTAATTCAAATTTATAAATATCACAATTTGATTGAGTTTATTTTGTCTAAGCAGTTTGGGACTCCTGACTATCTATGTTGTAATTAACTGCAGATAAAAATTAAGATTATTCAGTGTTAATTGTAACTAAATGTTTAATACTGCAAGTCCAAAAGATGACAGTTCCTTATTTTAAAGGAGAACTACCTAGAAGTCTGATGAAACAAGTTTTGGTCCAGGATCACCAGCTTATCCCTTCTTGATTTATACGGGGAAGGATTGAGATTCACATGTTCCTTTCAAGATCATTTCTGTAACAGTTGAAAAAAGATGCAATTATTCTTGTACTCAAGTAAGATGCATGCTCTGCATTGGTTTTGGATATCTACTTACTATATGCCAGCTTGGATCTTGAAATGAAGCACGTGTGAACTAAGTATTAAACAGTATATACTTAATGTGTAGCTGGCACAGACTTAAAATCATGCTTCATGCTTGACATTCTCCTGGTCATACACCTAGAAAAGTTGATTCCTTTACGCTGTAAATAAAACACTGATATATTGTTTGACTTTCATTTGTTTGCTTGGGTTTTTTGGTGTTTAACTTAAGATACAAAATTATTATCTTACTGTGTTTGCAGCTTGGAGATCTACTTTATGAAAAACGTCAGTATGGAAAAGCCAAGTGGGCTTGTATAAAAATGAAAGAAAAACAGTATGAACAGAGCATATGCCTTGGATTCATGAAGCTTATGAGATACATTTGTGAGCAGAATTCCTCAGGTAATTGGTACCACGATTCTACATTAAAGTTAAAACATTATATTTATGCACTAGCTCCTCCTAATGGGGGAGACACTTTTATTAGCTTTTTCCAAATACTCCACCCTGTCTGTAGGGACGCTTTGCTGTAATACAGTCTTTCCAGCAGGGTCTAAACCAAAGTGCTGCTCCCTCTGCACACATGCTAGAAGAGATCATCTGCAGGAAGCGATCCCTGTTTTCAAGGGCACTGTGACCATTACAACTGCCCGGGAACTGACACTGGCTATTTTTGTAGGCTATCAGCTACAAATTAGGCTTTTGCTACAGAATTTTAGTGGTTTAGTTTTCACAGCAGTACTGAAATCACCTGTTATAAGAACCTATTCAGAGTGTAATGCCAAAAGAGACCATGTTTTGCCTCCTTCGTTTTAGTTCATGATACTCAACTTATGCATGTCTGAACGAACACCTAAAATTTGTGTGATTGAAGCATGTTTTCCACAAAGATAATCTAGTTTTAACTGAAGTACTTTAAAATAATGGCAAGTCCACCATGTCCTTAATAGCTTGTGCCTGCATGAAAAATGTACACCTAGTTTCCAATCTAATTTAATCTAGTTTCAACTTCTACCCATCAGTTCTCATTTTTTTTTATTCTCCAGTTGATTAAGAAGTATTGCAATGCCCATGTTTTGTTCTGTAATAGTGCATGCATTAGAATCAAGTCAACACTCAATTTCCTTTCCAAGAAACTAAAAAATCATGAAAGCTTTTCCTTTATAGGTATTTTCCCTGTTCTCCCCTTTCTTTTAAAACTTTAACATGGTTTAAAAGTAATTTTGGCTCCAGAGTAGCGCAGTTCTGTTTTCAAAGCAAAGTTCCTACACTCAGTCATCACTCCTACCTGCACAGTCAAAACACTCCACCTTTTCCAATAGCATTGCAAAAATATAGCAACATGTTTGATAACAGCAAATCCTAAATGAATTCAAAATGCAGCCCCCTTGTCTTGCCTACATTCTTTATTCCCAAATATTTAAAACATGACACAAAGTCAGTTTACAAGACAAACACAACCCTCTTAAGAGGGGAAAGGAGTCAAACTCCTTACCCTACATTAATTTAGGAGAGCTCACCAAATACCTCATTTTATGCACACGTTTGCACATGTAGGTTTTAGATCATAGATATACACACACACAGACAGACAAACTACAAGGCATAATAAAATGCTGCTGACAACTTGGAATACACAACCCCATTTTCTAAAACATCCTGCTATGCTCTGTGGTACTCACTTTATATTATTTAGTATGAGTTCAGCAGTCAAGCTCGGTATGTAGCTCTTCTGTTGTATTTTCTAAAAGTCACCTATGTCTCCTCAGGACTGTACTTGGGGATAACGATACCCATCGTGACCATAGTCCATACAAATGAATCGCAATCAGAGATGACACAGTCAGTGACAGTAGCATACTACCTGCCTGAAGTGCTGCAGGACGAGCCACCTCATCCTTTTGACTCTGACATAATCATTGAAGAGTGGCCTGCTACTATTGTTTATAGTAGGTAAGAAACATTTTAATTTTGTTCTAGTAAAAACTGTAAAAAGATGCAGTTTTCAATTTGGACATGTTACACCTTTTAAATCAAGTTCTAAAAGGTAACAGACAGTAAAATTTGATTTTTACTAATTGTTAAAAGCTGCCTGCTTTAGGAGACTGTGATGTTCAGGAAATAATGGTTATCAACTTACTTGGGAAAATGAGGCATCTGTAAATGTGAGATACAATAGCTTCTCAAAACACAGACTGTTCTGTGTGGCTGGGAACAAAGCATCTGACATATCACTGAAAATATTAAGAAAGAAACTGTTCTGAGATCAATCACAGTCAGGTAGTGTCATTTGTGAAACATGACTAAATAATTTAGAGGCATTTCTAGGCTCTGGAAAAACTATGGATTTTAAAAAGAACTTGATACGAAGTTGATTGTTACAGGAGCTTCAGAGGAATCACCAATGAAGACTCTATAATGAGAGAAATAAACCTGTTGGCAGAAATTCTGGAGAGTCCCGAGTTATGTTTGCAGGATACATTCATCATTGCAGGATATACAAATCCAGCTGCTGCCAATCGACACAACGAGATATGGTTCCTTCAAAGACCATAGCCTCCCATTTCTGGTGCTTGTCAGTCACAAGAATCAGTTCTGATTTACTGGCAGAATCTTACAGGTGAATCACGTGAGACTAGATGTCAAACCCTCAAAGATTTTAGAAATGTGCTTTTAGCCAGTTTAGCAGGACAATTGCTCCGACTTAATTATCAGAGGTAACACCTGAAAACATACACAGTTCCTTATGCCAACTGTTACGAGTTCTTACACAATTTTTATGGAGAGTTTTAGCACTTTAAAAGTTAGTTCACCTATCTTCTTTTACAAGGTAAGGGAGTTGGAGACCTCTCTCCTCCTCCACTTATTAGCATCTCTAGCCTGCCTGTGGCTTGAGATGGTCCTAGTGGAGATGCTGGAGCCCCCGCCCTGGCCTGCTGTGGGCACCTAGTGCTGTACCAGCGACACAAGGACCCTGCTGGGGCTTTCAGTGGGACACACATTGAAACTGCCTCACACATGCAGGCTATGCTTCAGAAAAATAATGTTCAGATCTTAATTTCTGAAGAGAACCACCAGATTTAGACCACTGTGATTAATCCAAGGAGCAAGAGTAGGCCAATGCTGACTGCTTTTAATGTCATCTGCGGAGTAGAGATTCTTAATGCTTACCTCAAAAAGCATTCAACCAAAGTACTTTTAACTCTGAGAAGAGACCAAGGCAGCAGAAGGGTCCTGATGCTCATTAAAGTTTTGATAGCGAAAGTTACAGGTTAACCACACATTCATAGTAATCCCAGGACTATATTTGGCATTCCTAAATAGAAAGTGGTTATTCTTAACTCTTAAGTTTTCTGAACACTTTCTTCTTACAACTTTGCTGAATGTTAACACACTGCAGCTGAATAAGTAATTTGTTTGGTATTTTTACACTCTTCTGGCAGTATCACACTATTAATGTTATAAATGATACAAATATCTCACAGAATCGCAGAAATAATTTCAGCTACAAGTGACCTCTGGCAGTCACCTCGTCCAGCCCTCTGCTGAAAGAGGGGCTGGCGCTGCTGGCAGACCAGGCTGCTCAGGGCCTCACACCGCTGGAGTTTGAGCGTCTCCCGGGATGAGGAGCCCGTAACCCCTCTGGGCCCTGTTCCAGTATTTGACCACACTCACTGTGAGAATTTTTCTTCCTAATACCTAATTTTTCACGCTGCAGCTTGTTTCTTTTACCCTTCATCCATATGATCATTCTTCAAGTTAGACAACTGCTAGTCTAGCATGCTGTGATTGAGAGACAAGCTCACACAGTTCTATGTGCATCAGGAGGTCTGAAAGCAGCATTCGTGCTTTGCTGTGTACTGCAGTTAAAGAGCACCTACTGCACTTTAGAATCGGGGTAGCAAACAGTTTTTCTCTCAAAAATCCCTTCTTAATGTCTCCCCTTACAGATATGATGGTAGACTTTAATCTTAATAGAAGCAAACATCTTTTTACATAAAATTTCATCAAGCACGTTGCCAGCATTATTTATTGATTACAGGATTTAGGCTTTAAATAGAGCTTTTGTGTTCTTCAGTTATGACGTACAACACGGCAACTACAGCCAGTGTCTCCTAGCTTACAGCAGAGTTAATTGGCAAACACAATGGATTTACGAAGTACTTCTGAATAAGCGTACAGGTCTCAAGAACTTTAAGCCTTTTGGTTCCCCAAGGCTCTCTGCTGCACAAAACTGACTTTATGCTTAACTTAAAACCTCTTGTTGAGCAGCAGGATCAGAGAGTACCGGCTGGTCCTGCTGACCGTGCTCAAGCATGACCAAGGTGCTCTCTGGTGCTTGCTGCCCACAGAGATTCCTCAGGCAGACAGCAAGGAGAAGGGAGAAAAAAAAAAATAAAGAAAAAAGAAAAAAAAGAGAGAAAAGCCTTACTTTTAACACAAACAGATAGTCTTTGTGGGGAGGAAAAAAAAAAAAAACAAAAAAAAAACCCAAAACAACCACAAAAAAGCAATCCTTACTTTCTTCTTCTGAATGCCTGATATCCCTAGTTGTTCAGATGTCCTGCACTAGTCCAGCACAGACATTTGTATTACCTCAAATTAATTGGATGTTAAATCGATGGGGGGGAATCTCAAAAAATACTATGGGTTTGGGGTCTGTCTTATTCCAGCCAGAAAGCTATCAACTCTGGTTTGCCAGGTGAGAGCACAAATGCTTGGGGCCTGTTGTGGCCACAAGTAGGAACCACTTTGTCTGATGTTCCAATTTAAATGCACGTCAAAATATTTCTTACTTAACAGAAAGAGATGATAAAGATACCTGCTGTGGCTTTCATTCCTCTCAGTTTGTTCAAGATACAGGATCACAGACAGGGAAAAAAATTCAGATTTCCTTTTCAAAATTTTGAATCATTTCCTGTTTGATTTTTATTTGGCTTTTTATTTATTTTTAACATCTCCTCAGATTGTCGGACATGCCAGCCACTATTAAAAGTGAAAGCTAATAAATTAATGGAAAACAATAAAAAGTTTTCAAAAACTGAGTTGAGTAGAGGGCCCAGAGAGGCATTAAATAACAGGTTTTGTTTTGCCATCATCCCCCACAAAGATTTTTATAAGAGCAAATAAAAACAATTTTCACTTTTGACATAATTTTATGGCAAATTAAAGATGTTTCTGCAATTTCATTGCTTTTGCCAGTTATAGAAATTATTGTAATGCTTTGGCACAATAAATGTCAAATAGCTCTTGGAAGTAGTTAAATCCTCTCACTATAAAGTACCAGTTTGTACATACTTTACATTTTAAATGTCTATTGCAAAAAGCATTTGCTGTATCTTATGTCTCTTTCCATAGACAATCTTCACCTAAATACTTCTGTGACTCAGCTGCTTGTGGGTGTGTTATAGAAACATTCTTGTTACTGAAATATAAAAATAAGGTATTTATCTGAATGTGCTGATATCCTAACCACAGCAAAGCGTTCAGTGTTGTTTTATGTAAAACTGTGAATTCCAGGATAGTATTTATTTTGACTTACATTAGATGGCTTCTGCTGCTGAGAAAGAACCAATTAATCTGAGTTTGAAGATACACTTTATGGCTACGGAACATTGTACCAACTTCTGTAAACGGCTCTCACAAGCACAGGCACGAAGAACTGTGTTTTTTCACTCAACACACAATAAAGCTTACTTCACAGTTACACCACTGAAAGCCAAGGAAACTCATTATTACCTCTTATTACTTATGAGTTATTACTTACAAACGTAGTATTACTCAAATACATCACTTGAGAAAGTTTGAAAACATTATGTCAATCTTCATTCCCTAACTTCTGTTATCAGAATACTTATTTTATTATCCATCTGTGGCTTTACTTTGTGAGCCATTATTTAGTGGATTTTCATTTTTAATTTGAAGTTGAGTTCCACTATCCAAAGAAGATAATAAAACAGAATTCACTCTTTTTTTTTTTTTGAAGATTAAATTATGTAGCCTTAACAGATAAATGTCCTGCATACTGTGTATTTTTCGAACAAGCATTAGTGCCTAAAAAGTTTATTCCAGCTATTGTGATACTCAGGGCCTTGCTTACTGTGTGTATACAAATACAAACATAATTTTTCCAGCATTGTTGTGTTGTGCTGTTTTACACTGTCCTTCATTTTCACTGAAATGTTGTCTTGTTTACTGTTTGTCAAAATTAAAGATAATGATTTTATTGTGCAGAGTACACCTAGCTTTCATTTTTGTAACAGACACACAAGTTCTTTTGCTGTCTTTCCTTTGAACGGCAGCAAAAGTCACAAGTTGCTATTCTGAATTTACAAAAGCCGTTTAAGCCCCAAATTTGAAATGGTTACTCTAAGACCAAAAAAATACTTTAATATCTTTCAAAAAACATACAGTCTTTGAAGTAAACACCTACATTTGGAGCTATGCATCTACATAGCATAATCTACATTGCCAGGTCTGCTGGCAAACTCACTCCTCCTCACTGCAGGAGCCATCTGCAACCCCATTTTTGTCGAGCGTCCAGCACAGCCTCCCACAGTTCTTGCTGCAGCACAGGCTGGGGTAGGACCAGTTTCAGAACCAAACTGTAGAGCAGCAGTACTTCACAAAGAGTGACATATGTATTGGACTATTCTCCTAAATCCTGATGCCATTCAGAACATACTTCACGACTGATTCTTTTGGCAGGGGACAAGGATCATGCAACACGTACTTGTTGCTTCTGTGGCTGCACTCACATATCTATCCTGACCTCAAACCGCTGAGAAGTCAAAACACAGGAGCATGGAAAACGGTGTAATTTAACTTCAGGGCATGGCTGAGGTCCATCGCTGTGCTGTGGAAAACAGCCCAACTACAGAAACAGCCCTGCAGAAACTGCGGTACAGGAGCCACTTCTGAAAGTGCTGAGGTCCCTAAGGCTTGGCTTGCCCATGTACACTGGAAAAGGCTGGGGCACCATCCTTTCACGCCCTCTGTGCTGTTACAAGTTGTATTTTCTAAGTAAAGCAGTAGCAATACAAATGCAAATATAGCAGATCAAAGAAAGGAAATAGAAACCACTGAAGCTATAGTGACAATTTAGTCAAGGTTTGTCTACACTCCTCAATTACAATGGATTAGCAAAACCTATGTGCTTTTATCAGCTTAAATCTCAAGTGAAAACACTCAAATTAAATCCCTGCATTCAATACGAGCATTCAGAGGTACCTGTAGTGATGCAAAACTATCTTTAAAGTTCTTGCTAGCTTATCAGTGGAACTTCCTCATTCAAATATACTCTCAGGTTACTGGTTTGAAAACAGCTTATCTAATTCTATCTAGAAAATGAACAAACAAGTTTGCCTTCCAATGGTCTTCACATAAACTACTCCAAAAATCATTGAACTTTAATCAAAATCCTACTCTAAAGCCAACAGTCTGATACTAACTTAATCCTAACGTTTTTTATGTCTCTTACCAAAAAAAGAACACACATTTTGAACTTTTCAAAGTAGTATCTATTTGTCTACTAGTACCTTACTGAGAAGGCACAGACCATTAAGTCACCATTGACTTGCTAATAATTCTGGCCCCTGCTAATCTGTCCTATATTTGGACATTACCTACAGGTAAAAAGAAAATGAAAATAAAAAAGCTCTCAAGAGAAAAATAAAGAAAAACACCAAAGGAAAAAAAAAATCAAGGAGAACTAAGTTCACTTACAGATGACTTAAAGCTCTAAGGAATATTCTTAATCAGATAAAATGTTTCCATCAATATACAGTTTTCATAACACTGGCAATAACCTGGATAACACAAGCATGGCCATCTCAACATCTTAATATCACTAAATTCAGCCAAATTAAGAAGGCCTCGTTTAGGCCTCGTCAATTTTGCAAGGACTCCTGAAAGATGATGAGAAAGCAAATTCAATTGTAAGTTTTCCATCAGAGATTTTTAAGTTATTGCAAGGTAACAGGCACCGTTGGTGCAAATGCTGTAGTTGAAACCATGTGTTTTTCTTTGCCTTGTACTCAAAGGCAAAGTTAATTGCCTAGGAAAGTATTACCTTTATAAGTTATTGCTAGTCTAGATACAGATGTTAGAATTGGCAGGGAGATTATGTATTTAGTGACACCGTCCATTTAACAATAGAGAAATGCAAGAACTCACCCGGATGTAAACATTTTGAATTTCTACCAATTCTTCACCAAGTGGAACAACAATTTTTTCCACTTGTCGCTCATGAGAATAAGGCTGAATTTCTGGAGAATCTTCAGCACACAGCTCTATCTGAGCAATGAGTAAGTTGGAAATAACTTGCTGCACAGCCTGTTGAAGAAGCCACAAAGAACGACTGTATTTGCTTGTTAATACTCTAACAATGCAAGTCAGTATCACAGGAAAGTAACTATTCCTGTATTTTAGCAGGCCTTGAATATAATTGTAAGGTACCTAATACCTATAGATGAAAAATGAAAGACCCTCCGCCTAAAGATCTCAAGCAGTATACGAAGAGACAATATGGTAAGTTCACGAATATAAAAAGCATGCTATCGCCCCGGGGGCTGGAGTGACGGAACTCTCCCTTTGGCTTTGGGTGTACCATGAAACACCTGATGAGGAGCAACTTGGAGTTAGGAGCTTAAGCTGAACTTGGATGTCCATCTGCCTTGGACTGAAGGCCTTAGCCTTACTTGTATTTACCCAATACACTACACTGAACAGAATATGGAAGCCATTTTGCATTGAGAGTATATTCTCTTTGGTGCAAGTGGGTTTGTATTCTCAAAACCCGAAAGTTATTATTTGCTTTTAGAAAGGTCAGGAAATAAATAATGCAGTCTATAGCATGAAAAAGACAAACCCTCACCAACTAATGGACTGTAAAGAGATTCAGTTTCTATGTGGAATTAAAACAGACTTCAGTATCCTGCATGGTGTTCAAACTGTATCAAACAGTGTTAAACATAGCTTCTACTGAAACTCTGTGATTCCAACTACGCAAGCAGATTTGACTCACCTTGGTATCACTGCCTGGTGTGGCACTTAGGGCCAAGATCCGAAATTGAGTTGTATATTTGCTTAGTTCCCTTACAACCTAAGAAGAGGAAAGTTTCCGTTAATACCCTTAAACGAGATTATTTGCTGATAGAAACTGTATTAGTGAAAATACCCACTAAGCAGGAAGAGCTTAACAAAATATTCTAAAAAATCAAAAAAATTCTAAATTCAAATGGGAACCAGGAAATGTTCAGTTTATAAACATTTTATCCAAGAACACTGAATTTTGATTAAGTATGTTAGCCCAGTCCCATTCAGCAGAACAGCCTTGGTAAATTACGAAATGACTTTTCACTTGATTTAACAAAAAGATGAACACCACACTAACTCAAGCGAGCTGCCAAAAAGTGAGTTTGAAGAATCACTCTAAAAAGCAAATCATGGCTGATGAATCCCACGAAATCGGAACAGAGGTTAGATGACAACCACCATGCCAACCAGCACTCAGCTGAGTCTCACTTTAAAATGTTGCATTAGCAATTGGGAGAATGGCTGAATATTCCTTCGACCTCCCAGGTTCTCATTCTACAACCCTCCCTAAGACCAAAACTGGGACATGTACAATAGTTGCTGAACATTCAAGCAACAACCGTATTGTTGTTGCCTCCCACTTTCCCACAGACCTGAACTCTGCCAGTGCTCTCAGTGTACACTATGCCTTCTGGCCAACCACCTCACGCTGCACAGCAAAAAACTGCAAATAAAATAATATAACATAAAAGCTACAGAGAACAAATGAATGGAGGAATTCAATTTGTGGTGACAGTTCTGCTGAAAATCATGCAAAGGCATAGCTAAAGCAGAGAGCAAAGCCTGTCAACTTCACAGCCACGGGCACCAACGAGGGGTGGTGGAAGGGATTTTTCTCAGCAATAGCCAAGTCTCAGAAGCTAATGAATACAAGTCTTGGCTCTATGTTACAGAGTGATTCTTTGAAAAATGAAGTTGCTATAGTTCTGAAAAAGGATAAGAAGAAAAAAATTGCAACAGTGGCAAATTAACACATACCATTTTAACTTGGCAAGCTACCATCTCTTTTCCAGCACGCCAAGTTGGACAAGCACCAAAACCCACCTAGTTTCCTCTAAAGAGGCCTACTAAGCAACTAGACACAGCTCCACATACCTTCCATCAATGTATATAAAACTATAATTTTCTTTTAGGTCACATGTTTTTACAAGATTAACCCAAAACAACACAACAAACTTTTTGCTAATCAAGACAAAGCCCAATTTTACAAAGAAATCTTGAACTCATTTTACCAAGATAAAGAATTTCACAAAAAAAGCCCACATTTTTTTCTGAAAAAAAACCTCCTCCTATTTAAGAGCTATTCCAACATAGCACAAACACACCAGAGTTCACCTGCAAATACAAATATGTCTGAAAGAAACAGCATAGTGACTTTTTTTTAAATTGCCCTAATCAAAAAAATATTTTGAAATAAAAATTACAATTTTCTTCAGACATTAAAATATTCCCACCTCATCCTACCATGTTTTAATTCAGGTATTGCTTAAAGACAAGGCACTGACAACGTAGAGGACTGTTTGATCTCTTTCAAGCAAAGCTAAGGACCCAAAGGACAATCTCCCTACAGCAGTGATGACAGTGACACTTCATGGAGGTCCTGTAAGCGATTTTGGGGAGGTTTTTTGTAATTGTGAGACAAGAGTGGGGTGACTCCAGCATTACCTGACAGTAGGCATGATTTCCAAGGGCTTTGTGGGCTTCATCAATAACCAAACATTTAATCTCTACAGCAGGACATGTCCCACGAGAAAGATCATTCACCATTATCTGAGGTGTAAGGAAAAAGACTCTCTTGGTAGTCCACAGTTCCCGCCGACTGAGAGCTTGGGTTCCCCCTGCAAATTAAAGAAATAACATTAGTGAACTGTTCTGCTGAGAACAAGCCATGACCCATGAACCGAGCGGCAGCAGGAGGCCGACAGGGCTGGCAGACACATGCCGGCTTTGGGAGACAAATGCCTTTTAAAATAGCACACACCTTGGTGCTAGTCCCATTTTCAGGGAAAAAAGGTGAATACAACGACTAGGAAGATTTTTTGCATTAAAACACTAAACCCAGAACGGCAAAGGACAAGGCTAGAAAGCTCAAGATGCCCCCTAGGCTCCTGCAGCCCCATACCTAACCTGCGCCGCCTCTGACAAAGGCTTGCGCTTAAAAATAGGCTACGGATTCAGTCATTAAGGCTATAACTTCAGTAAGCAATAAACTGCAGTTCATGGGGTTTGCAAAGACTTAAAAAAAAAAAAAAAAGAAAAAAAAAAGCGCCGTTATTCTTTGGCTCAAGTTTGATACAGAGCATATTTTCTGTGCAGACATTTTCACCCCTGGGTAGAAACCCTAAGGCTCTGTGAACCACAGGGCAGCACACCAGGGCTCCAGAAAACATGTTCCAGCGCTTCATCACCCTCATAGTGGTGACCCGGTGTTTTAACTCTTGCACAACCTAAACTTAACCCCTTAAAAATCTTCTTGTCCTAAAAAAAGGCGTGTTTGGGTTTGTTTTTTTTCCCCCCTCCACTGTGGCTTTTCACGTTGCTTGCCCTTGCCTTTAAGCTAAGCA